ATTCCATTTCGCTGACGAGTGTTTGAAATCTTGGCTGATTTATTTGATAAGCTTCCAGCATTGTTGTGCAGTTATTACATACCTACTGCGTAACTGTATATATTTATTTGGCTTTTTACATGACCTTGCTAGCAGAAGGCAAGGACATGCAGATGCAGGTAGAGACGGTAAAAAGTGAGCACTGCACGCAGTGCAATAGTTCAACAAATTTCATCGCACACTTGTAACTAGTGCAATAAATATATTAAGTTGTAAGTTAACCCTCGCCCGTAAACGCCGATCTGCCACCTTCGCCCATGCAGGGGGGGGGGGGTTGGTGCGACCCCCCCTTGGCGTTTGAAAACGGAGCGTCGTAGAGCTTAGCGGAAAAGACCAACGGATTGCTCTCGCCGAGATCTCGCGATTGGTGGTATATTTTTTGGTCCTAGGTCAACATTTGACCTACTTTTGACCGGTCAAAGGTCAAATTTTCGGAAAAATAGACTTTTTCAAATTTTCCGCGGCGATTGCGGCAAAACGGTGGGAGATATCGACTTGAAATCTTCACTATCGTGTTCCTTGATCAATTCTCTATCGTTTGGTATGTATTTCGTTTCCCTAGCTCTAAAAATGGCGCGTTGGGAGCGCCGGAAGTCGGCAAGGTCACAGTCGGCGGCAGAAATTCGAAAAATCAAAATTTAAATTTTTGAAATCTGATTGTATTTTTGGATTTGGGATGTCCATTTGCTCCCTATAGAAGCTAATATTGCTGCATATTCCCATTGAGGTGACAAGAATTAGCAAAATAGTGGTTCGGGCGCTTTTCAAAAATAGTACCGGACGCTGTTCCTCTTGTGACGTCATAGCTCCGTGACCTGACCTGACCCGGTCAAGTTTCTTATACCATATGATAGCCAATACTTGCCCCAACATGCATGGGAAGTTTCATCACGATCCATCAACCGATGTCCGTACCACCGGCAGGAAACCTCGGGCGTTGGCACTCAGTTTGTGAAATTCCGGCCGGAGGCTGTTCCCTTTGTGACGTCATAACTCCGTGACCTGACATGACCCGGTCAATTTTTTTTTTATCAAAAGATGCGCAAGGTTTGCCCCATAAGATACCCAAAATTTGGCGGCGCTGCGCGCCGCCGTTTTTGCACGATTTCCGAAAAACCTCAGGGGGGGGGGGGTTGCACCAACCCCCCCCCTACATGGGCGAGGGTTAAGCAATATAAAATAGCTGTGAATGAGATCAATATGCTGATCAATATAATCCAAGCACCACTCACCAGATACAGAATCATTTTTTTTTTACAGCCCAGTTGGTAGGAAGCTAATAAGCTGAACTATCTAAATCTCCAAATTATGTAGTTGCTATTTCGACCGAGATTCAGCCATAGTCATTCGATACTTAATAATCAATTGGTAACATTCATAAAACGTTGCTATAACTGCCTGCAAGGTATTGTAAACTTTGGGGCGTTCATTGCTTGAATCGATAAATCGAGGTAATGTCCCGCTCAGATAATGACATGGGCGGCAATGGTAATTGATTTGCATAAACAATGGATCCAGATCGTCATTAAGACCACCTCCGTCGCCGTTTTATGCACTCATCTATTGATCTGCTAGCAAGAGAGCGTGCTGCCGTCGGTCTTTACAAGAGAGGCTGGCATCCATATAGATAAAGCTTGCATTTTGCAAAGACTTACATATACATGTACATGTACATGTACATGCAAAAGCGATACAATATGCGCTCTTATTTCTCATGCTCTTTAATTTCATTTCAGTGTCACCGGGTTAAAAAAAAAAAAACATTCTGCTTAAAGGCGGAAGCGCACCTACTGGACACGAGATCCCTGTCAGGCGGCCAATCAGCGGCGCTCTCCTTATCATTCAAGCATGCACAGCGGACCAATTCAATGGCGTTGTATGCACAGTAGGTCAGTGACAATAACGAGTCGCTGTGAAACAATGACCCCACCATAAAAGGAAACCAATAACCCGCAATGCATCAATGCTAGCGGATCACGCTTAATTAGTGCCAGACCCAAACACATTAAATCGCTAGAATGCGTCGATATCTATCACCAGGAAGCGGGCGCACATAAATGACGGCCCATTTATTATGCCGAACGGTCGGTGTTTGTGTCAAGAGACCATATCGGCTTTGTACCTCAGCTTGGCATCGACCTACTGCCGGACAGGACGTCGTTTGCATTGTGACAGGCATATCCGGACTGTTTGAAGCACCCGCATGCTGAGTCCACATTGCGAGCGTCGCCGGCAAACAACTGCTCAAAGACTGACGGGCAAGGCGGTTTAGTTTTGCTTCTGGGCCGGCACGGGTGGTGTATGCGCTTCCCGAGCATTATGAGCTATACGATTAGAGAACCATCGGAAAAGCGATAGGGGAGTAGTCATGCACAATTTGGCTTATATAATGGACTGGATAATGACATAATTTGTCCAGCCTTATGAGATCATCCACAATCCACATATCGTTTATGGTGTAGGCAGTTGAAGAGTATGGGCCACTCACTATAAAATAATGATTTTGATGAAGAAGTCCACGTGTGTTTGGAATCATATCTTTCTTGTGCCCGTGTATCAACTGACTGAGTCGCATTGCAAAAACGATATTGCGATATATTTGATGACATATATGTGTTCGTCCTCAATCAGTTTGATGTAAATTATCTTTAATTTATATACTATCATTTTCATTTTAATTCCAATTTTAGCATTCCCTCATCGTTCCATCGACTAATAGCGACATGGACATAGCTTGGGTAAACTGTTGGGACAGGGAGAAATAGCCAAACTACGCCGGCCGGGCCAGAATTCCCGTGTGTCGTGTCCCATTAGGCCGTCATATGCTATCACTGCTGGGCCAAGGCCAGCCGCTGCAGAGGCCACAGGTGGTCGGAGCGATATAGGACGTCTGAGGAGGGTGGGAACTCAGAGACAGAGGGAGGGAGTGGGAACTGCAGGACAGAGGGAGGGAGAACGGGGGTCGTGCTTACCATCGGGAGAGGAAGGAAGGAGGAGTCACGGCCGACCTGTGGGTCATTTGACAGGTCTGCTTTCTAGTAAATTAGCTTCCGGGTTGGTGAGGGTGTAAGTTGTGTAGCGTATTATTGATTCAACATATGGAGCTCGAACTCAGTAGAGAGACGAGAACGCCTGCTTAGCCCTTAAGGCCAGACCGCTCGCGAAAGTTTAATAAACAACTTAACATTTTAAAGAAATAAAATTTGTTTAGAAACTCTAATGACTTCACTTGTTTGTTGGGGCAACATTCCCATTTGCAGCACAAACATTGGACTGCCTGTCTTCATGCATGCACGTGGATGCATGCACGATAGACCCTCCGGCGCTGGGGCACGCAGCTCCGCACGCACCTCCTGGGCGGACCGGGCTGCCGGGAGCAGGTCGGGTCGCCGGCACCTGGGCACACGCACCGAGCGCTCATCCACGATCAATACGGCCCGTGTGTTTGTGGCTCGAGCCGGAAGCTGACGTCAGCCCGCCGCCGAACCGCCTCCTCAGGCCGACTTTAGGCGCCGCCGAGCGCCAGACGACCCGTCTGTCGTCTGCGCGTCTCGCGTCTCTCGTCAGTCGCCTTTGTATCTTCTCGCTCCCGTCCCCGCAGGAAGATGGGCTGGGAATTTTTCAAGACCCTTCACCGGGTTGTCGTTCCGACTCGACGGAGGCGCCGGAGCCCGGGGAGCCACTCGCGGGCCGGAGATCGCGGCACACGTCGACGCCTCAGGCCCCGCCCGAGCTGCAGGAAAAGGAGGGGGCGTGTGGTGGGCGAGGCTGGCAGATTGTGGAGGTGGAGTGGGCCGCCGACCGCACCGCTCCGTCTCCGCTCGAGCGGCTGGGAAAACCGGCTGGTAATTGGTAACGAGGACGCGGCAAGCTGGTAAATTATTCAGACGACCGACGAGCGCTGCTCTTGATTGGATGACCCCGCAGCTGGCGAGGGAGGCCAGATTCAGAGACAGCGGAGAGCGAGAGGACAGAGGGTCCCGATCTTTTACTGTGGTGGCGCAGCAGAAGCACGGACGGCTTTTTAGGAGAGGAGGAGTCTACAGAAATGGGCCGTAAAATCATTTTCTTACCTTCTTTTAATTCTTTCATATAAATAAATGCAATAACGCATACATGGAAAAAACATTATTTTTGAAAAAAATATGTTTGACTTACCTTGCAGAAATAAAGATCGCTACCTACGAGTTAGGGCAAAAAGATATAACATAAAAGCCAAAGGGCTCTGCATGCTGTTCATTCAGCATAACATGTCACCGTCACATATCTCAGCTAACATACGACATGCGGCATGTCGTTCATACCGTTCATCCAAATCCCTCATGTTACCTCATTATCATAATGCGAAAACCGTCAGCCGGAATCAGCCTGCCAGCTCGCACCCAGCAGGTGTCCCCGTCTCTCAGGCAAATTCAATTCTCGATCCCCGAAAGTGGGCGCCGATCAGCGTACAAATCCTGCGGCCATTCCGGCGCCTATTTCTGTCGGGGCTGCCGCCGTCGCTGATTGCTCCGGTTGACGATCCCACCGGGAGCCGACGGCCTGCATTCACGGCACGCGCGCCGCCATCGATGGATGATGGCCATTGGGCAGTGCCGCGCCCAGACAAACGCCTCCCACCTGCAATGCGCGCCGGCTATTTCAATATCGCCCCACCGAGCCGGCCGAGCCGTTCGAGAGAAAGCCCGGCGCCACTTGAGACGGATATTCCTTCGCGGAACGAGCGCGCCGCTCCTTAGCCTGTCGCCGAGCTCAGAATAGAGCGGCGGTGTAATTCGCAGCGCAACTCTGTCAACTGGAGTGACCCTTACATCCGGGACTGCTAACCGACGCACCAGTGACCAAATTGGTGCACCTCGTCAGCCATGAGCGCCCCCAACTGAGGGCGGCACACCCCCGAGTTCGGGGAACGCGCTGTGGGCGATCGGCCAGCTAACGAGCCAACTTGCCGTCTGTTTCAGGAAGTTTCCATCTTCGTGTTTGAGAAGAAGATCGCTGAAAAGCTGCACAAGCCCAAGCGCCGCGAGACAGTTACCGAGCTGCTGCGGGCAGGAGTGAAGCAGCTCGAGCGGTATCGACACCCGCGGATATTGCAGGTAAGTCCGCCGCCTCGCGAGAGCTGCATGCAGGGCTGAGGGCACCGACCTCGGGAAAAGCTATAGGGTCGACCGACCTCGCCCCTAGTTTTTCCGATATAGTTGCCAATTTATTTGTTTCTTTTTCATATTGTTACTCTTCATTTAAATGTCATATTTTCTGTTTACATGGATTTCCTTTATATTTTGCCCATCCCCATGTCATTTTCATTATATTTTCCCCCAGTGTGAATGTTATTACGACTTTCATGCATTGTGCACTTCACACGGTCTCAAATACGTACAAGTTTAACTCTAATCAAGAGTTCTACCTCGCTACGCAGCTCAAGTACATAACATCACAGAGAGCCACTACACAAGCATACATATCGTATCGACCATTCGCAAAAGTCCTGTTCGATGTAGCGGACAGCGCCGGGAGCCGCTGACCAGCAGGGTCGGCCTCAGTCGAGGACGACGCGGCGGATGAATTAGACGGAGCAGCGCGGTCTAATTACGTACCACCTAATTACCCCGGCCATTTCAGTGGTAGCACCGAGTGGCTTCCTATGTCCGACCATTCTGGCTAGCGCCGGACGACACACCACACAGACACACAGACAGACAGACAGACACACACACGCGCGCGTGACATCGCAAATACATAGACAGGCCTACAACGCTCGCCGGCTGAAAGCTGATCGAATCCAATTCAGTTTTTGTTTTGCCTTTTTGCGATAAGAGACTTGCTTGCAGATGCACATACCTATGCACAATCGGAACGTCACTCTCATAGGCGGTAAAATGGGTATTATTATAACTTTCACGTTATGCATGACTGTCTGATATTGTTGGCATACATAATTCACTGATGATCGTTTTGATTTAAGCACAGACAGCACAGTTCGCTAATTTAAAAGAATCTGTCCCATTTAACATAACACCACCTCGTTCACCATCATACCACCACATCCACTCGTTCTGAGCTCCATATCGACTGAAGTTGAGTTCACAACACTCGTCCGCCGTCCACAGGTAGTCCACCCGGTCGAGGAGTGTCCCGAGACGCTGGCCTTCGCCTCTGAGCCCGTGCTCGCCTCCCTGGCCAACGTGCTCAGCCCGGCAACCGACGGGGACAAGACCAACGGCCACAGCTTCGCCAAGGACTACTCGTTCCTCGACATCGAGCTCAAATACGGCATTCTGCAGGTGGGTGTTGCTGTCGGGCTGTTGGAGCGGTGCAGGCTCCTAATCTGTCGTTTATTTCCTGTGGATTATGAGGATGTTTTTGATGGTAATTAGATGCTATGTTTGCATTTAGCTGAATGAGACTTTCCGGCGTTTGGTATTGTAGATCTACCAAATCATGACGCAAGTTGATGCAAATATTATACATGAAATATTAAATTTTCAAAGGAGCCTGGACCATGTATTAAACATGTCATATTATTTGGACAAGAAGAGACGGAGAGTACAACTTACCAGAATGATGTAAGAGGCAAGAGTTATGTAATTTGTAAGTCATTTCTGCCTCATGAAAATTATGTAACAACACATATGCATACCGCGCACAGTGTGGCCGGTAGAGATGCATCAGTAGCCACTCATTACTGCGCGACCTTTGATATGCGCACGCTGACACAGTCAGTCAGCGGTGTCCTTGGACGTCATACATCCATACCCTGAGGCGCTTCCCGGCACTCAGCGGCCACATCGTTACGTCAGAGGACCGGTAACGACCCCCCGCGGCCGGTGTCAGATTTGCTTCCCGTCCAATTATAGTTGTTTGCCATGGACGGCGGAGCCGGTAGCCAGATATCGTATGCGTGGCAAAGCGCAGCGCCTCTGAACACGTAAACACAGCCACTGAGCTAGTCTTCATCGAGGACGAGCAGTTTTGTGTACAATGTCTTCAACCTTCCCTATCTTTATCAGTGCCAACGCCATAGTAACAGGTTCGTTTGACTCGTCCTCATATTCATCTCGACTGCGAAACACCATTCAGGATGATGACGTCTAACTTTGGCACTAAATGAATGTAATCTTACTTATTCATACCAAACGTCCTCAGTTTATTTCGTTTTGTCATCATCCAACCCCTTATCGGCCTAACCCTCGCCGGCACAGGCCATTTTGAGTCCTTCGACGGCACAAGGGGGGGGGGGGGTACGACCCCGCTCGCGTTTGGCCCCTGATGGAGCTAGAGCTTCGCGGAAAAAACGAGCGTGTTGCCCGTTACGAGAGGAGGCCAATGATACCAAGTTTTAAGGTCCTAGGTCACCGGTTGACCTTCCAGGTCAGGTCAATGACCCAAAAATCGGAAATATCGGGACCTGTTAGAAAGTCGTAAAGCGTGGCTGCTAAGGGGTTTTCCGGGGTGCTGATCACGAATATCGTGTTAGCTTTGATCACGCATGATGTCGTTAAGCGTTTAGACCAGGTCGGGTCAGGTCAGGTCAAGTCAGGTCAGGTCAGGTCAACCGGGAGGGGTCGTGACGGGTATTCGTAGTACCTGTCATCTGCCTCTGACAGCTCGTAACATGTTACTAAGGCACCAAAACTACTTCGTAAATGTTCAAATGGTTGCTAAATTCGAATTCAGCTCCAAAAACTAGCCTAGAAACATGTAAAACTCGAAAAAGTGAACCGAGGTCACCAAAGGTCAATGACCTGACCTGACCTTCAGGTGACCTTGACACCCACCCTAATGCATGGGAGCAACATCAAATCACATGTTTGAACGTTTGAAACCACGAAAAGCTTGCAAACGCGCGGCTAATGCGAGCCGACATACGCCGAATCGCGATTTCGGCCAAACATGGTCACGGAAGAGAGGTCACAGGTGAAAGGTCACTAGAGTCAGGGTCATGAAATTTTCAGGGTAGGTGTAAAATTTATCAATGCGAAGGATACTGAAAGTTTTGTTGCGATCGGCCGCTTTTTACGCGAGTTATTTGCGAAAAACCTTAGGGGGGTTGCATCAACTGTGCCGGCGAGGGCTAATATCTGCACAGGACTGCCAGCCTGGTGTGTACCGCTTAAAGGTAGTGTTCCACCTTTGAAAGATTTCCCATTTTATTTTTCCTAGGATAAGAAGCTTCTGTTTTTACCTAATATCGCAAAAAAAAATCAAAAATGGGCCTGGAATAGTGCCTTTTTCGCCTAAAAGTTTTTCGGTTTTTAGATATGTATAACAACTGTAGTGGGCTCACCTGCAAACAGGCGTCGGGCAACAATCGCGAATGCGGCGCACTTGTGACAATAAGCAAAGGTCATTATAGTGTTACGACCATACGACGTACGGGAATGAGTTATCAGCTGTCTAATCGTAGACAACACAATGTCGAGCCTTAAACTGTAAGCCCGTATTGGTATTGTTTCTTTTATTTGGCTGTCGAACATTATTTATGGTTTGAAATATGATTTTATGTAAAATAATTGATATGAAAAAGCCGTCTTATAAGTTATGACCCCATTTCACCACACGCAAGTGGCAGAAATGACAATGATCAGCTGACGCATTTTTCTTGGCCGAAGTCAGAGCGCGCGGCCCGACGCACCACGCGTATTTGGAAATTCCGACCTCGACGAGCATCAGAAGCCACCTAACAGGCGTGTTCGAAACCGCAGGAGCTGATGATGAACGGGTTTATCGAAACTTGATTGGATGAGCATATCGGTAATAGCGATTTCAGTGTGTGCATTTATTGTTCATAGTGGTGTGAAATGTGGTTGGGGTACGACCGACAACCCGTCGGGGCGAATTTCGCACTGGGGTACTCAAAATTTGAAGAATTTAAGACGTTTCCATGAGTTTTGAAGGTATGGATAAGTTCTAAAAATCCGGTTCTCCTTATCTGGGCCATTAACCCATTTACGCCCTTCGTTGCGTTTTCGCAACGCAAGCAAGCGTCGACGTGATCGAAGCTTGAAAGGTGTGTAAAAGAGACTAACCGATGAGAAAAGTTTCAGCGTGTGTAGCATGGTTGTGCGCATGATACTACGCAGTTACAAGTCTGTGCGGCCGGTAAGTTACTGCCTAGAGCTCCCAGAGGGAAGTCGAAGGTTTTGTGAGTGATGACGTCACGAAAACCAAGATAAGTAGGCTAAGTGCTTAATAATATCGTAATGAAAATTGTGTAAACATATTCTGCAGAGTCCCTACAATAGCGTAGATATGCATTTTGTTAAGAAATAATGCTACAAAAAGGGTTTGTGACTATTTTCAAATATGACTACGGTCGCGTTGCGGGAACGCAACGAAGGGCACATCGGAAAGACAGCGGTGTTGCGAAAACGCAACGATGGGCACATTGGCAGGGTAGTGGAAGTATGAATATCAACAGTAGACTTCACTCGTGATACGCTGTGGGTTCTCTCTTTCTCTACCCCATCTTCCTCCCTCTCCTCCTCGTTCCCCAACTCTCTCCCCCCCCTCTCTCTCTCTCTCTCTCTTTCTCTCTCTCTCTCTTTCTTTCTCTCTCTCATTTTGTAGCCATGAGGCTGTAGTGGCGGAACATCTTCAATTAACCCTCGCCGGACCTATTGGTTTTCTACATACGCGCCGGCCGAGGGGGGGGGGGGGGCGGGTACGACCCCCCCCTCGCCGTTTCGCCCCTGGTGGAGCTAGCGCGTCGCGGAAAAAACGAGCGTGTGCGCCGTTACGAGACGCAGAGATTGGTACCCGATTTTAAGGTCCTAGGTCAACCGGTGACCTCTGAGGTCAGGTCAAGTGCCCCAAGGTACGGTTCAGTTTTTGGTGAATAACTTCGCAAAAAACGGCCGCAGAGCGCCGATTTTGGCAGCATCGTGTTCGTCTCGCTCAGGCGCGTCGAATGATATACTTTTTGTCCGGGTCAGGTCAACTTGGGGTGTTGACCTCAGGTCAAGGTCAGGTCAGCACCCCCAGGTCACGAAGTTGGTCGAAAGGGGTCATGTCGCATATCATTCGATTCGGCAGGTCTTCCTGAGTCCATTGGTGGCTTTCCCGACTCGCTAGCTCAATTTGATCAAGAGTTATTGACGAAAAACTAATATGACCTTGATGACGTCATAAATGACGTCACGCAAGGTCAACATTGCAAAAGTGACGCATCTAACCTTGCAAGGAGTGCATAAAATCACGATTCTGTGTGCTTGAGATAGTTGGAGATCGTTCCCGGCGCCAGAATAGCAGTTTTCATTTTTCCCCATTGACTTATAATGGTGAGGTCACGAAAATGACCTGACCTCATATGACCTTTAGGAAAAATCCGAGATATACAAGTTGTGGGACTCATAATGGATACTAGATCCTGCAAGTTTCATTTCCCTGTGACATCTCCTCTGGCAGTGAGGGCGTTGCGAAGTTGCGACATCTGAAGACCGTGCAGAGGTTCACTTATGACGTCATAGGTCAGTGACCTAACCTGACCCAAAAATGCGGTTGGTGTCAAAAGATGCGGCTTGGATCAAAGGTCAGGTATGCCAAGTTTCAGCTCTCTATCGCCAGCGTGTTCGGAGCTATTGCGAAAAAACCCTATGGGGGGGGGCGGCACCCGCCCCCCCCCCTCGGCCGGCGAGGGTTAAGGGGGGGGGGAGCACTGCTGACTTTTGATCTCATTCTTTCCATTTCCATTTCCATGCAACGCCTATCGGGATAATGTTAAAATGGCAAAATCAAGGGGGGCACGGTGCCCTGGTGCCCCCTCCCCCCGCTCCGCCGCCTATGCCATGAGGGACGTAGGTATGTTTAGTGCAAGGTGCGTTCGCACGTAAAATGTTGCGACACATTTCATATTTGCTGGCTCAAACAGCCACAAACACTCCTTTCTTTTTCTCTCGCAGATTTTCGGCCTCGGGCTGTTCGTTCACTAAGCAATGTGTTCCCATGCATCTGAAAATCGCATGGTAGGAAAAGGACCCATGCATCAAACGGTCGGCGATGCTAACGGAGCTGAGAGATAATTAGGTCCTTTGGAAATTGGATCTACTATGTACATTGTGCATAAATAATGAATAACGGGGATGTATTCTGGTATCAGGCGACAGATAGGCATCGCCATTCTCTGGATAGAATCTGCTGACTACCAGCATTTACGTTAGAAAAGATAACTGAGGGTCGGCAAATAGTGGGATAGGCCCCCTCTGAGGGTAGCTGAGCCCTTCGGCAGGGGTAATGAGGGCGGACCCATGGGAAAATAATAATTTTTAGGATTCATAACTCGCATAGATTCATAAGCTGCTTGATGTGGAGTATACGCCTGTTTTCTTACTTTGATAGGCTTTTTATCTAATCAGACCATTTTTAGAGCTAGCAGGATTATTGGAATTAGGGGAGACATTTGTCTGACCGGACACGGTCAATCGTAGACTGGAGACTGAGCCCAGCCAGTGGGCAGCCGCCACCAATGACCCACCCCTTCCCCCCTCCCAAGCACTCACTGCACCCGGCTACAGGCGCGCTCCTATGTGAGCTGCCCGATTCAGATTGCGATATACGTTGCCGGTCCAGCCCGGAACAGGGGGATGAGGCGTGGAGGAGGATTCAACTATCCTGAAGATGGAAAGGACGGATTGACGTCGAATCACCATTCTGTCCTGGCATTGTCTCGAGAAAGAGGTTACACGTGAAGGTCGCTGAGAGTGGGGCCATGAAAATTTTGGATTAGGTGTAAACATGATAAACTGGGAGTCGATTTGTTGTGATGCGCTACGCCTTACGCGGGTAATTTGTTAGAGCCGGATCGGTCCTTTTTTCTTTTTGCTGAGAGTGGGTACGACTAACCTGCAATGGAATTTAACTTTACTCCTAGGAGGGTGGTTAAAAATGATTGCGGATATACGCGCATACGAGAGGCACTGGTTTACTCCCAATCCTCCGTTTAATTGTATTCAGTGTGCACTGTGCAGGGTCTGATAGGTGGAGGTAATGGATCTGTCTAGCTTCCAAAAAGAAAGCATCACCCTGGATACGTGTCGACCACAACTTTAAATGAACAGCAATGGACAATGTAAATGGTTGATAATGACCGTGTTGCCATCTCCCCGTTCGCGAATCATGAAGTTATGCTTCCTCACTGAGGCTCTTAGGCGGGTTATAGAGCATGACGGATGTGGGTTCCGCATTTTCAAGCAATAGTTGTCAACAGTTGATTGATGTTTTGTCAAAACATATTAGCATATACGGCAGTTCAGTGTACTTTATGTCCGTCTGATGTGCCCGTCGTTGCGTTTTCGCAACGCTGATGGCGCCCGGTGTGCCCTTCGTTGCGATTTCGCAACGCATGTTTTTTACGTTTTTCTCGAGAAACTTTTGCTGCAGGCAAAAATTATTTTCGATTCCATACAAGGCCCTGGTAGGAGCATAACATATTTTGATTTCGTCGATTTTCATGATGGTCAATATTCCTGGGCATAAATGGGTTAACTCCATACGGTCCAAGAAAGCTGGCACACTACCTTTAAAGGGACTATCCCACCTTCTAAAATGCTGTTAAAACCAGTTAAATTGTGCCCGAATTTATAGATTGGATGACCAGGAACACGGTTCTGGCATTTATTTTTCATTATACATCTTAGGCTTCCCATATTCCAAACACAAACTTTCAAATATGTGACATCACAGTCCAAAATTACCTCCTTCCCCAGGCCACATTACTGTAATAAAACTGATTTTTTTTACTCTGTAGGCGCCACAACAAAGTTCAGACCAAGTTTTAAGCCGTTTTTCAACGAACAAACCCATTTAAATCAGAATGACTAAACGAGGTGACGTCACACTAACGGTCGCTCCATGTTGAAGATAGGGCCTTGTACAAGGCCCATTTTCAAATGAAGGGAACGAATTTCTTCAACACCAAGAGGTCGCGGGGGTTGCAACCTAGATAGATAGTGGTTTCTGAACCTCGCCGCAAACTTGGCTATCTCAACTCAAATCCCATGTTAAAGGTGGGATAGTCCCTTTAAGCTTTAGTCCGACCATAGGCCTCTGGTCAATATCGAATTCCACTACCTGCCGAATGTTTGTAGTCCTGCACGGCGGCTGCGGTCGTGGCTCGACACGCCAAATAATGGCACTAAGATCGAGTTTAACCCTCGCCGGACCTATTGGTTTTCTACATACGCGCCGGCCGAGGGGGGGGGGGGCGGGTACGACCCCCCCCCTCGCCGTTTCGCCCCTGGTGGAGCTAGCGCGTCGCGGAAAAAACGAGCGTGTGCGCCGTTACGAGACGCAGAGATTGGTACCCGATTTTAAGGTCCTAGGTCAACCGGTGACCTCTGAGGTCAGGTCAAGTGCCCCAAGGTACGGTTCAGTTTTTGGTGAATAACTTCGCAAAAAACGGCCGCAGAGCGCCGATTTTGGCAGCATCGTGTTCGTCTCGCTCAGGCGCGTCGAATGGTATACTTTTTGTCCGGGTCAGGTCAACTTGGGGTGTTGACCTCAGGTCAAGGTCAGGTCAGCACCCCCAGGTCACGAAGTTGGTCGAAAGAGGTCATGTCGCATATCATTCGATTCGGCAGGTCTTCCTGAGTCCATTGGTGGCTTTTCCGACTCGCTAGCTCAATTTGATCAAGAGTTATTGACGAAAAACTAATATGACCTTGATGACGTCATAAATGACGTCACGCAAGGTCAACATTGCAAAAGTGACGCATCTAACCTTGCAAGGAGTGCATCAAATCACGATTCTGTGTGCTTGAGATAGTTGGAGATCGTTCCCGGCGCCAGAATAGCAGTTTGAATTTTTCCCCATTGACTTATAATGGTGAGGTCACGAAAATGTCCTGACCTCATATGACCTTTAGGAAAAATCCGAGATATACAAGTTGTGGGACTCATAATGGATACTAGATCCTGCAAGTTTCATTTCCCTGTGACATTTCCTCTGGCAGTGAGGGCGTTGCGAAGTTGCGACATCTGAAGACCGTGCAGAGGTTCACTTATGACGTCATAGGTCAGTGACCTGACCTGACCCAAAAATGCGGTTGGTGTCAAAAGATGCGGCTTGGATCAAAGGTCAGGTATGCCAAGTTTCAGCTCTCTATCGCCAGCGTGTTCGGAGCTATCGCGAAAAAACCCTATGGGGGGGGCGGCACCCGCCCCCCCCCCTCGGCCGGCGAGGGTTAATTTGTTCAGCTTCGCTCTGGGCTTGAGGGCAAGATAAGAAGTCCCTAAATTTGTACGTATTTATCTTCAAATCCGCTCGCTTCTTAAGGTCAAGTACAAAGAAATCAAGCAGGACCTTGACAACGAATGCTTGGACATGAATCCAACCTAAAACAGCCATTTTCTTGTCAGCGTCGTTTTCGAGTATGTTTGTACGGCATACCTACATTTCAATAAAATATTGCTCCATAAAGTGTATAGGTAATACTGAATCAAGATGAGCCATAAGTGAATCCAGGCATTTAAAAAAAGCACACAGATGATAAACGTTCTAATTTCGGCATGATGATGCCAATTTCCGACAAAACGTCCCATTTTTATTCATAACCATTGACGAGTCATTAAAAAAAAAACATTTAAATTGTTAAATTAGATCGTTAGCAATGTAGCATGAATCAATTTTCACGCTTGATATCTGTTTCAGATCACCGAAGCGTTATCGTTTCTGCATTATTCTGCGCACATCCTCCACAACAACGTGTGTCCCAGCAGCATACTGGTCACCAAGAGAGGCACCTGGAAGCTGGGCGGTCTCGAGTTCTCAGGTAAGGCCGAGACTTATTATGTTGATGTGTTATCTTTTGATCCAAGATCGAACTTACGAATTGAGTAGTGTGCATGAAGGCACGCTCAATAACAACACTTCGGTATTTGTCCACTTACACCTTGCTTATCGTACTTGGTCAGTGGCTGAATCCGGATTTGTTCAGTTTACGGCACCACTTTTGAAAACTGTGGCGCGCCGTCTCGTTTCTTTCGGCCCGGCCGTGCCTGAGCCGACGTCCTTTGGGACTCAACAGGCCGTCGGTTGGACAAGTTTGCCACATAATCCGACTATGTGGCCGGTCGGTCGGTCGGCTGGGAAGCCACTCGGCACGCAACAGGTTTCCGGCGGTTTCCCGGGGCTCTGTCTCCTCCCCACTCTACCCACCGCCTGCCGCCGTCAGCCCGGCTGGCCGGCTGCCGCTGCCGCCGCCAGCCCCGCCTCACTGCCCCAACTGCGGACCGAGCTGGGAGAGTGCTCTGTTGTATCCGTCCGATGTTCGTTCAAGCCTTTCCCAGCTGACGGATATCTCTGCCAGAGGGATGGGATGCTAATGAAAAGCCTGCGGGCGGTTAGTTTTGCCAGCTTGTGAAGCCGTGACGCGTCCTGTAGGCCTCTTTGAGCCTCCTGCGATGATGGGCACGACTAATTCAGTCATGAAACGTTTGCCATGCATTATGCTGAAGCCATTTAGTTAATGCAACGTGAACTTTATGTAGACACGGCTAAGTTAGAGCTCTCCTGACGTGCGTTCGTCGCCGTTGGCTTCGATGAGTCGGCTGAAGTTGAGACCCAGTGGTCAGCGTAGCGCATTGATTACGGAGCGAGCGAAGCGAGCGTAGTCTTTCCTTAGATTAAAGGAAGGGTGCCACCTTCCGAAATTTTTGTTCTATGGATCTATTTTACTTATTTGAATTTTTAGACGTGGTTAGCGCGTCCACAATATACAAAAAACCGAAACATTGCATTTAATACATTGGCCAAAAAAAAGATCATTGTTTATATCACCACTACAACTCAAGGTCGTTTGATGTGGCAGCTAGGACGGCTGGCATATCCTGTTGTCATGGCAACATATCATTCTGCCATTTGCATTGATGGCGCAACTGAGACAAAAAGATGAACAAATAAAAAGGAAGAAGATAACATGATTTGAACTAAGTTGTAGGTAACCAAGTAGGTAACTGTTGGCCATATTTGCCAACATCAAATAAGTCGAGTAAAGGTTTTTCCTTTACAATGCTTAAGAGATCTATGGAACCCTTCACCCTTCATGCAACTTACTAGAAAAACTTCCCAATTAAAATTTTAAAACTTAAGTGTATACCATAAAGAAAAAATATACCCTTTCAAAATGATAAAACATGCTTCAAAAGTATAACTTTTATACATACCTTTGCTGATTTCATGTTTTATAAAATACCCTTAACACGACGAGGAAATAGTGCTGAAGATTTTTGCCTGCCCGAATGCTGGCAGCAAAACTCGCAAATGATAACTTCACGTGCGGATTCAATGCTGACCGTCTCGAGCATAGGTAAGTGAAGCCGGTTTTTAGGTTCATGTGAGGCTAATTACGGAGCGAGCGAAGCGAGCGTAGTCTTTCCTTAGATTAACCCTCGCGGGCCCGGGGGGGGGGGCGTTTTTCGCCCCCCCTGGCGAATATTTGCGATAACTCCCGAACGCTTAGGGATAGGAAGGCGAAACTTTCAGTACCTTTTCTCCCATCAATTTGACATCTTCTGAAGTAAAAAATTTGGACCTAGCCCCCTTGATGACGTCACAAGGTCCATTTTTCTAGACCCCTGCACGGCAAACTTCGGCGTCACAGACGCAAACTTCAAATAGCTGCTAAAAATAGAGTTTTAGAGATAAAGACAAATTACGAGCACGGCTGTGTAGCGTTTGACCTAGAGAAAAATGGAAAAATAGTTTTGGTGACCTGAGGTCAGAGGTCAGGTTAACGACCCCGAAATGTGGTTTTAGTTTTTCGCAAATAACTTCGACAAAAATGGTCCTAGAGCTACGGAAGTGGTACCATCGCATTTGCCTTGTCAAGCCGCGTCGAATGATATATATTTTGTTCGGAAAAGGTCAAGTTTCATGTTGACCTCATGTGACCTCGAATGACCTCTGGTTGACTCTGACACATTGAAGGTCGTTTATGATGGATTTGTACCCGCTGATCACGAATCTGGCATCTATTTTCCTCTAAGCCTTCATTTAGAGCTTCCGGATGGCAAAATTGTCTTATTTATTATTACTAACTTGAATCAGTGAAATAGCCTCTAGCAGGGATACTCTTCTGTGACCTTGACCTTTGAGCAGCCTTGTATCGTAGGATGAACCAGAAATAGGGAACTGATAAGCCTCAAAACATTTCAAAACATCTTGGAAGTTAGCACGCAAGATGTGCGAAAAAGTGCCAAGTTTGAGGTCAATTTTGAGCGTGACCTTGACCTTCACCTTAGATTTGGAGCACATTTTCAGAATCCTCAGATTCTCTTCTTTCGTTTGACACCCAATTTTGCCGGTTTGATGCAGCCTGCCGTCCTCTAGAAGGCTTATTTTGAGATCACCACACATGTGCCGGTTTTGGCCTTTGACCTTGACCTCTGACCTTGAAAATTGACCTGAGGTCAAAAATTTTAGGTGCATTAGAATCGTCTCGTAAGGACCTTTCGTTTGGTATCACTTTTGTTTCCGTAGCTCCCTTATTTACGGAGTTAGACAGGGGGGGGGGCGAAAAACGCCCCCCCCGGGCTGCGGTGGTTGGGATTACCCCCCGGGCCCGGCCGGGTTAACGGAAATTTCTGAGTATGAGCGGCCGGCCGGCCGGCCGGCCGGCCGTGGTCACGCTTTTGCGAGGCTTATATCTCAGCAACCACTTGACCGATTTACATGCGGTAATTTTTGTAGGGTAGCTTCATTCCTTCTACCAAGTATTGCACTATTCCCGATGCATGTGGGTGACCCCTTATGCACGTGCCACGTGCAAAACCAAGAGGTGTCACTTTTGTAATTGTTGCAATATCTCGGTAACTACTGGGCCGATTGCGCTGAGAGTTGGCATGTAGGTAGGCACCCACTAGGTAATGCATATCCATGTGCCAGAGTTGGGGTGCTGCTGCACGTGCGCACGTGCAGGGGTCGTTTCCAGATCTCGAGAACGGCTGGACCGATTGCGCTCAAATTTGGTACACGGTTACGGAGCAGTTAGTAGGGTGCCGTGCACAAGTCAGTTGGGACCCATTTTGCACGTGCGCACGTGCAGGGTGCCGCTTCCAGATCTCGAGAACGGCTGGGCCGAATGTGCTCAAATTTGGCACATCGCTAGAGACCGGTTAGTAAGGTGCCGTGCACAAGTCAGTTGGAGGTACCCCCTCGCAATTTCGCACGTGCAAGGCCCACCCTCTCGCTCGCTCCGTTAGTCGCCACAAAAGGCGTTATACTGGTCTTGTAAAAACTGCGTTGTGTCCAAAAGGTGGCACCCTTCCTTTAACGGAAATTTCTGAGTATGAGCGGCCGGCCGGCCGGCCGGCCGGCCGTGGTCACGCTTTTGCGAGGCTTATATCTCAGCAACCACTTGACCGATTTACACGCGGTAATTTTTGTAGGGTAGCTTCATTCCTTCTACCAAGTATTGGACTATTCCTGATGCATGTGGGTGACCCCTTATGCACGTGCCACGTGCAAAACGAAGAGATGTCCGTTTTGTAATTGTTGCAATATCTCGGTAACTACTTGGCCGATTGCGCTGAAAGTTGGCATGTAGGTAGGCACCCACTAGGCACTGCATATCCATGTGCCAGAATTGGGGCGCTGCTGCACGTGCGCACGTGCAGGGGTCGTTTCCAGATCTCGAGAACGGCTCGACCGATTGCGCTCAAATTTGGTACACAGTTAGGGACCGGTTAGTAGGGTGCCGTGCACAAGTCAGCTGGGACCCACTCTGCACGTGCGCACGTGCAGGGTGCCGCTTCCAGATCTCGAGAACGGCTGGGCCGATTGTGCCCAAATTTGGCACATCGCTAGAGACCGGTTAGTAGGGTGCCGTGCACAAGTCAGTTGGAGGTACCCCTCGCAATTTCGCACGTGCAAGGCCCACCCTGTCGCTCGCTCCGTTAGTCGCCCCAAAAGGCGTTATACTGGTATTACTGACTGCAGTATATGTAGTGCTTCTGTTACCAAGAATATTTCACTTTGTGTTTGAACAGTTTTGAAACTTCAGCTAAAATTGCACTATACAGAGGCCTCCTCGGCCGTGTCTGTGTTCATTTCAGCCATAGATATTACGCCTACAGAAAAATCACCTATCAACGTGTATATTTTCCTTATCAAAGTGCTTCGAGAGTCCGAGACATTGCTCTGTCGAACGTACAGCCCATCATCGTACATCAAGGTTAGATCGCCTGTTTGGCCTTTCCACTGCTTTGTCTGATACGTCTATGTCTAAGGCTTAAATACATCTGCTCATTTCAGAGAAAATCGGCGAGCAGGATGGAAACGACAGCATCCACTGCCAGGCTTGGTCATCCAGGGTACCGAAAATGGCACAGCCCGACTTGGACTTTATCGGTAAGTACCAGAAAAAGACCGCAGAGCTACTCAAAGAATGACGGTCGCGGAAAAATGAGGGATATTGGTTTGGTGGAATTGGTACGTCAATACGAACTAAAATGTTGGGAAAGAAACAATCTGAACACACACAAGGGCTAAGCTGCCTTATCTAGCAAAGCTCTATATCAATCCAAGGGCTTTGAAGTTTTTTTACAGTTTTTTTTTTTCTAGACGACCACCTTCAAAGGTTCCTGGAGTGGCCAATAAAGGGCTCCAAATCAGCCCTAGAACACAGAAGAGATGTCTACCTTTCATCAGCATGTTGAGCACATTCTTAGATCAAGTCGGCTTGGTTTCCATTCATATACACTTGAGGGTCATCTGCAGGAGAAAACCGGAGGAAGCAAAATTCTGTTTTCAATTGACGCCAAGTGCTTCATGCAGATTTACAAAGTTTCTTCTTCGATAATAGAAATTTGACTATTGACTCCTACTTTTCGAGCACTTTTTCCATCTCTCTCTCTCTCT